TTGATGCTTGCATTCTGAGGAATGGCGGTAGGAATATATTAAAAGTCTGTTTCTGCCAGGCGGCGGTGGCACACGCCTTTAATCCCAGCACTCGGGAGGCAGAGGCAGAAGGATCTTTGTGAATTCGAGGCCAGCCTGGTCTACAAGAGCTACAGGACAAGCTCCAAACCCTATCTCGAAAAAACAAAACAAAACAAAACAAAACAACAACAAAAAAAAACCCCCAAAACCAAAAACCAAAACCAAAACCGAAACCAAAAAAAGTCTGTTTCTGGAATCAAGCCATTATATTTTCAGAACAACAACAACAACAACAACAAACAAAACAAAACAAAACAAAACAAAAAAAACCCCTCAGCATGCACAGTAAAAACCTTGGAATCTATAGCATACAGTAATCTTGAATCAGAGCCCAGATGTCTCAAGCAGAGATCTTTGGTATTTCGTGGCATGACGTAATGCACAGTGTAAGGTGCATGTGTGATTCCAGAATGGAGGCGGCAGTGATGCTGCGCGAAGCAACGCGGATAAGCCCCAGAACCACTGTGCGCTTGATACTGGGCTTGTCTTTGGCTGCTGCATGTGCAGAAACGCCTTGCTGTCGTCCAAGGTTCCTGACCCCCACATTCAGTGACAGGATTCCATACAGCATCGTGACCTACAGCTTAAGGAGCTAGGCTCTGGATCAAGCCGGAAAAATGTTGGCATCTCCATCCCACCAAACAGAGGCCAATATTGAGTCAACTTTGTCAACCAACCAAGCAAGCTGCAGAGTGTCTTCTCGCCTGAGTGCTGCTGCTGTGAATCTACACTATTTTAAAAAGTCCAAAAATGTGTAGGAGGAGGGCCTGACAAATTGGCGCCAACGTGGCTCTCTAAATCCACATAAAACCCGAGAAAGCTTAAAAAGGAATTCTAGAAACAAAAATACAGGGTTTAACACCGCTTCTTGCTGGGTGCTGGTGAGGTGCCGCAGTTTCTTTAAAAGAGGTCTTACTGATTCAGCGATAGCAGCTGAGGTTTCATAACGGCAGCTTCCCGGCCGTGGGCTGTGCTTCCAGGGCAAACTATGGCTATGGAGCATTTGAACGGCATTTGTGGGCTCGGGTGTTTGTGTGCCCACTCAGGATCAGGAAGAAAGTAGCTTACAATGCACTTCCTGTTTACTTAGGTAATATTATATCCTTCTGGAGTCTTTGATGGAGTTGAAGAATATATATATATATATATTTTTTTCCTTAGTTATAATAAAAGATAAAATAGATGTAAATATTGTAACTGTAATTCTTGCTTGATACCTGTTTTGTTATATATAATTTTACTGTTAAAGCCTTCCTTTTTATTTAAACAGAAAAGAGGAGGTGATACAGGATTTACCTCTGTATGCTGTGATTGCCATTAATGAATAAAGAAACTGCTTTGGGCCTGTTGATAGGGCAGAACTTAGGTAGGTGGGGAAAAATAAATGGAATGCTGGGAGGAAGAAGGCGGAATGAGAGAGAGGCCATGGAGCCGCCAGAGTCAGACATGCTGAACCTTTGCCGGTAAGCCACTGCCAAATAGCGATATATAGATTAATAGAAATGGGTTGAATTAATATAAGGGCTAGCCAATAAGAAGCTAGAGCTAATTGGCCAAGCAGTGTTTTAATTAATACAATTTCTGTGTGATTATTTCGGTCCTGGGCAACTGGGATGAACAAGTGGGACCTCCTCCTACAGTTAAGAAAACAAACAAAAAACCCTGGGTAAGACTATGGGCAGTTGTTAAGAAGCAGGAAGAGATAGTTGGAGACGTCTTTTATATATTTAACTAAACGTGACACATGCTGGGATGCCAACTCAGAGCATGTGGCTGTTCTGCAAGGGTCTGAAAAGATGACTACAGGATTCAGAAAACAAGAGAATGCAACAGAAAACTTCTTGGGCAAGAGTAGTCCTTTAATACCTTTTGCTACAAGGATGGAAACATTAAAAAACGTGGTGTTACAATTCTATGTCTAAGGACACACACACACACACACACACACACACACACAAACACACATATACATACTTACAATAGTAATTTGAGTAGGTCTGAATTCTGATCAAAATGACATAAAAGGGACTGGAGACATGACCCAGCAGTTATGATACTTATTCTTGCAGAGGACCTGGGTTGGGTTCCCAGCACTTACAGGATGGCTCATAACCACTTGGAACTCTTGTTCCAGGGGATCTGACACCTTCTGACCTCTCTGGGCTCTTGTACGCGTGTAGTGCACACAAACTCACACAGGCACACACACACACACACAGATAAATCCTTTTCTTTTAAAGGACTTAAGAGGTGACATGTTTGCTGTACACAGCTGACAGTGGCAAGCAGAGCCACAGTTTTTTCAGAACGTGAGTGTTTTCGGGCCAGCTGGCTCCTCACTAGTGTCCAGCATGTTCTACATTCTCTATCCTGTTTCTGCGGCAAAACACCATCAAATGCCTACACTGTAATCACTGCAAAGGCCCAGGCGCAGGACTGCTCCTGGGAAACCAAGCTGTGCACAAAGACAGAGTGGTATTTTACTACCGTGCTTCTTTGTGGACAAAGAATCATTTCTCAAATGCATTTGGGTTACAGTAAGATTATCCTTACTGACCCTGCCAGAAAACAGAATCGCAGCGGAGCGCCACACACTGTAAGTCAAGCAGTGGGCCAGGAACTGCAGATACCTGCTGACTGATTCTCACAGGTCCTGCAGGGATGATAGGGAGAATCGCTGCAGTGGAGCCGTGTGGTCCTGGCTGCTGTCAGCAGAGGGCAGGAGAGGCTGGAGAAGCTGAGCCACAGATGGTGCTGTGAAGGGTGGGGTCACACAAAGAGGCCCCACAGTCCACAAGTGCAGTGCAGGAGGCTGCCATCCAGCCAACCCCATAACTGCAGGGTTCTAACCCCATCCTGCTTGTTGCTGGAGCAAACCCAGTTTTCTTGTTTGTTACTCATGATGGGCACCCAAGTCAGAGGACAACTGGGTTCCCTCCTTCCGAAACCCTGTGAGGCCAGGGGTTTGAACTCAGGCCTTCAGATTTGGGGCATGCGCCTGCACTCACTCCGCAGCCTCCCTGACCACGAAGTCCTGCTCTTGATTTATTCTTTATTTTTAAAATACACCCCATTTCATCAGCTAAAGACTCTGAAGTCTGTGCTGGTCTTTCTAAGAAAGAAGACAAGCTGGCTTTAATAGTTTCCAAACGCATTTATTGTGAAATAGTGCAGAAGCCCTTTACAAGCCCAAAGCATTATAATTCAATAGAAAACATAATTTTATAGACATATTTCTCTATACAAAAGTCTGAGCTTTCTAAAAATTTAGAATAAATAATTGAAAAATCAATGCCATTGATTTAAAAGGTATCTCTTGGGTTGTTTCATGGTGAAATGTCTTCTACGTCACCAAAAGATGAGGGGGCTGACACCTGTTCCGAGCTTGGGCTGTGAGTCTCTGGCGAAGATTCTGTACTTTCTTGAGAAGATCATGTTCCATGTGGTTCCATTCTGTTGTTTTCCTACTTGAAAAAGCTTGAATACAAAATTTACAGTTATTATCAGTTGAGTTTTCTGATGTACTAATATAGTACGTCCCTTCATTGGAATTATGTTATAAAAATCAATAACAAAAACCAATATCCTAAAAACATTTCTTGAACTAAAAGCCAGCCCTATCCCCCTGCTCTATGTGGCTTCATTTCCCACCCAAGTGGCTTTTTTGTTGCTGTTGTTGAACTGACTGAACGACAGCAGAGAACTCACTGCTGCTGGCCCTGAGCACAGCCACAGGTGTGGATCAGATGTACAGCTGCGGGAGGCTGAGCTCTGCGGGGCGGCGCACATCCCACCGCGGTGCTCAATGGGAAGGAGCTGCAAGGCGCACCACAGCAACCTCTCCAAATAGGGGTGTTCTGGCAGTGGCGAACGGGGGATCAAGACTAGAGTAACACCCTGCTCAAGTTTATAGAGCTTCATCCGCATGCGGGGCTGGGAGCACTGGAATCAGAACTGCGGGAGCACCCTTTACATATTTAAATAGCTTCAGCTTCTGAGAATGATTTTCATCCCTCAAAGGAAGGCAGCTTTTGTGTTTTCAATTTGCTGCCAAATAACCGAGCTCAGTTGGCTCCTCCCGGTTGCTCTGAAGTGCAGAGAGACTATCGGGCCTATGCATCCACTCCAGCGTGTGCCTGTGTGCCTGTGCGAACCCCGCTGCTCTGCAGCTGGAGTGCTGGGGCTGCTTGGGGAAGACCTTGAACCTCGTCTTCCCCAAACAAAACATTGAAGTCTGAGAAAAAGAAAAGGTTTAATTCTGGGGTGTCAGGGTAGAGACAAGTTGTGAACCTCTTACGTTTAGGACACTGGCCTCCTAAAGGATCCTTGGCTTAATTCTTACTCTGACATAGAACTTACGGATACACACAACAGGACTCAGCAAAAATACTTCACATGGTAACAGAACTTCAAGACTTGGCATTAGTAATGGTTCTGATAAAGCTCATCTTCTAAGAGAGCTCAAGGACCTTAAAAAAAAATCAAATTTTGCCTTGATCTATACAACAGCTTTATTGGAGAGCTAGTTAAAAGTCTGGAGGACTTGGGGTGGGGATGCTGGATCCATGTTACTTGTCTAGTCAGTGTTGCCCTGGTTGTTTTGGGACATCAGTGACGGGCTTAAGAAATGGAGTGACGTGATCTCTGTCTCGGGCTGCTCCCCATCCCGCCTTCCCCATCAGAGCTGTTCATGTTCTGTGCTTCTTCCGGCCAGTGCCCAGGAAAGCATCCACTGTGCTCTCCTGGCTCCTTTAGCCTGCACGCTGCTTAAATACTGTGAAAAGTAAAACCACAGTCTTCCTTATTTACCGACTTACTCTGTGTAGAGGAATCCATTTCAGAAACACCATTTAATTGTGAGGTTTGGGACAAATAGTTTGAGAACATGTGTTCCCTTTGCAACCAGGGCACTTCTAGAAAGGGCGGAGAGAAGAAAAGGTGCGAGAGTCAGCGGAAACCATTTATTGAGGACAAACCGTGCATGTGTGGTAAACTGTCTTGCATGAGTGGTGAGTAGCCCCTTCCCTCCTTTCTTGCTCTGGGAAGAACACTGCTGCATTTGGCAGACAGCAGAAGTGCAGCGTCAGGAATGGGCAGCTGCACTGAAGCTCTGCTAATGGCTGTAAGAACATCAACTAAAACAAAAGGCCAACAGAGAGCTAAGTGGGCACCAGGGGCTAAAAGCATGGCTTGGTGGTAGAGCACCTGGCTAGCACACACAAGACTCCAGATTCCCTTCCTTGTAAAAGATGTCAGGGTGGTGATCCCAAATATTAATAGAGATTATGGAATGTGTTAGCAAATGGTCCCTGAGAACCACGTGAGCATCGGTGGCAGTGGGGTGGCTAGCCTGGTGAGCTACCGCAGTCCAGACAGAATCAGAAGCAGCAGACCTGACCAGAGTAGCGAGCGCAGCAGCAAAGTCCCGGGAGCGCGGCTGTGCAGTAGCTGCTCTCCTCAGACAGGGCCGACAGACAGCAGGTCAAGGCATCGCCGCCAAACTCACCAGAGTCAATCCCCGGACACCACAGTGGAAGGAGAGAACCCTCACAGCCATACACATGTACCCAGCACAAAATACCACAAAACCACTCTCTCACCTTTCAGCTGTGTCCCTCCGCCCTAACCCGACTGCCCCACGTCTGAGAGCAAGGTCCTTTAGAATCTGTCCTCCCTCCACCGTCAGTACCATCATCTCTTCTGCCTGCAGCAGAATCTCAAGCACTGGCTGAGCAGACTCACCACTTCAACCCTACTCTGCCCAGCCAGTTGCTGCACCCACCGAGCTAGGGCATCCCCAGTGTGTTTCTGCCTGCGAGAGCCAGTTACTGTACCCACTAAGTCAGAGCATCACCACCAATGCGGTTCTGTATATGTGCATTTAAAACAATCTGCAATTTATTAAAAGATGCTCATAACAAATCTGAACATTTAAGGATAAAAATAAAGTGCCTACACTTTCTTCCTTCAAAGCATATTCCTTAAGGCTCCAGAGGGGACTCATCTTTCTTTCCCATGTGGGTACATGGGCATGTGGATGTACAAGCACACGTGTCCGTGTGTGTATGGAGGACAGACACTGGTGCTGGCTGTCCTCTTTCCACCACATTCTACACTGAGGCAGTCTCTCACTGCACCACAGTTGCCAAATTCATCCAGGTCAGTTCAACCCTCTGGCTCGCTGGGATTGCAGGCGGTCTGCCACGCCCTCCTAACACTCGCCTGGATGCTGGAGAATCTGAATTCTAGTCTTCATGGTAGCTCAGCAAATGCTTACTCATTAAGCCATCTCCCCAGCCCCCGACTCTTAATTTCAAAGACTTAATATTCATTTAATGAGTTGGTATCACATATACCACGAATGCAAAAGGAACAGACGGTGCCCATCAGTTCTCCTGCTTCTCCTGACTCCTGAGCCCTGGCCTGGAGCTCGCTGCAGGAGCAGTCCTGGTTCCTCCCCAGGTTGTGTCATGCAGCTAGCTGGATAACAGACTGGGACCCCACTCCTCAACCGAGCACAAGACACCCTGCCGTCTGTGGCTGTGTTCATCCCTAGAAACTTGAGCCAGGCCCCAAGTGCACCTGTCCTGTAGCTGAGACACCTGAAGTTGGCACATTTTTCCTGGCCCAAGACATATACAGCCATTCATGGACATGGGTTTTCTGCTGTAGCTACCTTAATAAGACCACAAGGGCAGGCAACTTCATTCCATGGCTGAGTTATGCTCCTTAAAGTTTGTGAGAAACAATGGGTAATAAATCCACAAAAATTCTTATGCTTCCATTTATTTGAGACAGACACAAGTAGTGTGGGTTGGCCTTGAACTTCCAATCCTTCTGCCTCTACCTCTCAAATGCTGGGAGCATCATAATGTGCAACCACACTTGGGCAGTTCATCTTTTTGAAGTGAATAGTTTGATATAATTAATACATTCAAAATTATTATAAACATCATCATTAATTTGAGAACATTTTCATCATTTCCCAGAGAACTCCCAGATCCTTTACAGTCCTTTCCCCACCACGGTCCGGCACCAGCCGTCGGCTCCCCTCTGTAGAGCTGTCCGCTTCCTGACGACTTCATATGGATGTGCTCTCAGTATGCAGGCAGCCTTTCATGTCTGACTTCTTTAACTAGACATACGGTCTTCAAGGTCAACTATTCTGAAGCATAGAACATTCCTTTTTCTAGTAGAATCAGATTTCACTGTATGAATAAATTTGTTCTCTCTCTCTCTCTCTCCTCAAATTTCACTGTGTCGCTCAAACAGACCTGAAACTCACGACAGCTTCATCTTCCTGGGTGCTTGGACTACAGGTATACATCACAGTATCAAGTTTGAACACATACTCAACTATATACTGTAAGCAGGCAAACTGTATATTGATACAGTATATATAAACCTTCAAGTTAAGTTGTTTTTTTAAGGCAATGTTGCTTTCTTTTTTTGTTCCAGATTTATCTATTATTATGTATACAGTGTTCTGTCTGCATATATCCTTGTAGGCCTGCAGGGGGCACCAGATCTCATTATAGATGGTTGTGAGCCACCATGTGGTTGCTGGGAATTGAACTCAGGACCTCTGGAAGAACAGTTAGTGCCCTTAAGCTCTGAGCCACCTCTTTAGCCCAAAGCTGTTGCTTTAAAAGGTTAAAGTCATACACTATCAAAAGACTGACAGTAGAAAATGCAGTAAAAGAAAACTTCTATCTGGACTCTACTTTAGAAAGCGACATTATAATTTTCATCTAAAATCACATTTATTTGCTCACTTATTTATTTTGTGCAGGTGTGTATACATGTGTGCCGCAGTGCAGCGTGGAGGTGAGAGGACAACAGTGGAGTGAGCTCTCTCCTTTCATCATGCAATGCTGGGAACCCAGCTCAGGCTATCAGGGGTGGCGCCCGGGGTCTGTGTCGCTCAGTCATCTCAGTAGCCCAATACAATTTTGATTTCTCAGTTGATAGGGTTGCAAGCCTTATCCTAAAACCTAACAGTTAGGCCCTAGAGGATCCCTGTGGTACTCTGACACCCTGTTGCCTGGAGCTAATTGTTTGGCAAAGCACATATCCTTACTAAAATTAGAAATAGTTCTTTGGGGACACACCAGATTCCAGAAGACTAAGAGAATATCAGAGGGTACAGCCGTCTGGAGCAAAGCAGCTCGACAGGGCATCAAGACTTTTCTTTGTCTTCTGTCTGACAGGCTCTGTGCTGGGACTAAGCTGAGGGCAAGCCCTCCACCGCTAACCTCTAACCCCCGCTCAGACACTCTGTTTTTATCAGTTCTACCCCCAGCCTACTCCTCTCCCCCAAAACAGTGCTACTCCCTTTAAGTCAAGCACAATTTAATGACAGTAACAAAACGGCCTGGAGATGTACTCCTGGTAGCACACCCACGGACACTCACCTTCACACAGCAGGTCTCCACCATGTTCCAGAGCTGCACTCGTCTCCTGCTTTAAGAACCACTTTCTAGAGGCATCCGACAGGGCAGAGGCTCTCTTTTCTGATCCCAAGTGCAATTCCTTTTCTTCGGCTTCCTTCCACTGCACACGAGTGGGACAAAAGACCATCAGACAGTGCAAACAGACCACGTGAGTGGAGTGAGCCCCGTCTCCTCTACTAACTCTCCTTCATAGTTGAGAAACACACAGGACCTGTGTGGTACTGTGGAAGTTGGGGTGTCTGCGGTGGCCTATAGCTATGTAAGAACCCCAAGAACAGGGGCAGGCCTTGCTAGCAGTGAAGTAGCAACTCTTTTGTACAGGTTTCAGGCCTCACCAGACTAAGCTAGCTTCCTAACAATGGGAATTAGTCTCCTTTAACATAAATGCTATGCCCAAGTTACAGAGACTACAAAATTCAGAGAGTTAATTATTTGCTCGGTTCTGGAACACACATTGATCATAGAAGTCTGGTGATTTCACCGGTCCCAGCTCTTTCCCCTATAAAACGAGAGAATTCATCTTAAGATGAGTTCAGAGGATGACTAGTGAATTTAAAACACACCAAAATGCTACAGTCTTTACATGGAAGCACACATACAAATTTTGTGATTAAAATATCAATTCACTAAATACAGACATAAAGAATCTCAAACTCTGAGGCCAGAAAGGCAGCAGAGATCATTTCCCCTTACTGGTCAGGGCAGAGTCAGCCAGCTTTCCCAAGACCACACCACAGCAGAGGTGACTTTAAGGCCAGGATGCTGGATACAAGGACTGTGCAGCAGATACCTGCACAAGGACTCACGGTCCACTCTCAAAGGCATTGTTTTACCTCAAGTAAATGGCACCGTCTGTTGAGTCAGTGCCAGCAACCCTTGCCTCGGACACAGAGGGCTCCCCCACTATGATCCTGTGGCCAACGATTTCAGTGTTCTGGGTACCGCCCCATATCTCAACCTTCTTTCTAGTCGTTGAATGTTCTCTAAGTTCTCTAGGATTGTGATTTGTAAGCTGTTTTTCTTTGCTTTATGTCTAAAAGCCACTTATGAGTGAGTACATATGATAATTGTCTTTCTGGGTCTGGGTAACTTCACTCAATATGATGTTTTCTAGACCTATCCATTTGCCCGCAAATTTCAAGTTGTCATTATTTTTTTCTGCTGTGTAGTACTCCATTGTGTAAATGTACCACATTTTCCTTATGCATTCTTCAGTCGAGGGGCATATAGATTGTTTCCAGGTTCTAGCTATGACACACAATGCTGCTATGAACATAGTTAATCACATGTCCTTGTGGTATGATTGAGCATCCTTTGGGTATATACCCAAAAGTGGTATTGCTGTATAGCCCATTATATCGTGATCATTTAACGGGTGAGGGGGACTAATCAGTGGTAGAGTGCCTGCCTTGTATTAGTAAAGACCTGGGTCCAGCCGGCAAGGAAAGAGATTGGCTTAGCACACTAACAAGACGCTTGTAAGTCTCCCTTACCTTCTTAGCTTCCTCCTTCATCATGGCATTTAGGACTTCCGTTTCCCTCCTCCTGTTCTTCCGGAGCAGTGTGGCGACTTCCTGGTAGCCCTGGCCGCGCTGGTGGTCGTCACATTGCTGCTTGTGTAAAGCCTGGATCTGCCAGTCAGCATCGAGGCAGGCTTGCTCAGCTTTAGCCAAACTGTCCTCAACTTCCTAAGAAGAAAATTTCAGAAACAAGGGGAAGTCATATAAGATACGGACGTCCACTCGCGTCCGCTGCGTGACGTTGTGGTACAGCCTTCAGGGTGTTTAACCAAATTGACTTCAGGGCCCCACCACAAACCAATTAAATTCATCACCAGGTCAGCTGAGGTAGTTTAAAAGCTTTTAGAGAGGCAGGTGCAGGTGCGGGATGGGATTGTGAGTTCAAGGCCAGCTCAAGGTTAGGTAGTGAGACCCTCTCTCAAAACAACCCTAACGCCTTAAGTGACTCTGATTCCTGCCAAAACTGGGAACTCCCAGGTTAGACAAAAGGCAAGATTCAACAACTTCTGCTTTTAACACCCTCAAAAGCAGTTAGAAAAAGTCCCTTTTCAGATGTACAAAAACAAAAAACCTGTAAGAGAAACAAAACAATACAGTATCTCAGAGGAATTCGTTAAGAGACTGGTGCAGAGGTTCCTCTTAGCCTCCACCATCCCTGATTTTCAGAACAGGGCCAGTCTGGGACACACACACTTAGTATTATGTTAAATCGATTGACCTCAGAGAAAGTTCTTTCTGAATGTATTACGTCAAATCTCAGTCCACTTAAACTAGCATTTCTGAAAGGGCACTTCATAAGACATAATTGGAATTTTTTCTTGAAGGCTTCACCAATATACTGTGAATCAAATCTGGCTCAAGCCCCTCATTTCACACCAGTGTTTCCAATCCCGACTTGGCCATCCCATGTTACTGGATGTGCATTTCCAGAGATGCTGTGGAAAGCCTGGCTTGTACACCAAGCAGAGGCCTGAGGCTCTGTGACTTTGTGCTCTTGGGGACAATTCCTGAGAAGAACACAGCAGGACAGAATAATGTGCAAGTTATTAGTTCTCCTGTGCTTCCTCATGTGCCTTAACATTCTCTCAAAGGGCATGTCAGCTGCATGTGGCCAATGCAGCCAACAACCCATAAACACAAAGCCCTGGGGCTTCTAAGGACCGAGGCAAACAAAATAAACAAACGGATTATGCAACTTCAAAAACTTCCAAATGCAAGCTCTCAGAAGGCCAGCTCTCAGCTCCCCCTGTGGACCTCAAGTTGAGTAGGCTCTCACCCTCCGAGTCCTGTTCCCCAGCTGGCTGGTTTCTAGTAGATTCTGGAACATGTGTTCTTCAAGAGCCACTTTGCGCCTATGGGCATCCGCACCATCTCGAATTTCCTTTGCAATAGCATCTTGACTTCTAGTAAGATCCTGTTGAACACAAAGGGACTTCGCTTTGTTCAGGCCCCAAGGACAACTGTAACTGTCTCTTTATCAGAGTAAAGTGGAAACAGTGGTGACTTCACTGACAACTGCAGGGACCTGGAAAAACTTCTCCATAAATGCATTGAGACTGGCAAGCATGCTCAGAATCAACTTCTGAATTCTAGCAGCTAACAGGTGTGTGGCACGTTGGGGAACATGGCTCAGGAAGAAGGGGTCCATGCCCAGCCCACCCCCGGCTCTGCATCAGCCTTTGAAACACAGCAGCCATGGGTGGCCGTTCCTGGAGACCATGTGTGAATCACAAGTCAAGAGTTGTGTGCGCAGACCTGGGAGGACCCCATGCTCTCACTCCGGGTACCACTGCAGTTTCACACATCAGAGAGTGAAGCGAAGTTGGACTTGTGAGCTGCATGGCTGCGTGCTGAGGGTGCTGAGCGTGCACAATAGCTCCCCTGGGCTCACCAGAGACAGAAGCTTTTGTTGCACACAGCTATCATTACCCAGCGATGGAAAGGAGTAAAGCACCGAATTATGCTACTCCATAGATAAACCTTGAAAACACTACGCTAAATGAAAGAAGCCAGTCACAGAAGGCATTGTCTACATGTTGCATTGAAATGGAATATCCAGGCTAGATAAATCCGTAGACATGGAACCAGATGACTAGTTGGGGACATGAAAGGTGGTGCTAACAGTGGCTGGGGCACGAGGGATGGTCTAAGTTAGAAAGGCAGAACACAAACCGCATGTGCCAACGGCCGCACTAACCACTGCTAAGGATATGAGTTTTCTTCTTACAGTATTAGGATTAAACATGGGGCCTGTGTTCTACCTTAAGATTTGTTTTAAATTTGTCTCTGTGTGTGTGGTACAGGTGTCCTCACAGGTCCTGGAATTGGAGTTACTGTGGTTGTGAGCCACCTGACATGGGTGCCGGGAACTAAACTCTGGTTCTCTGCAGGAGCAGTACTCAGTGTTATAAAACAATAAGATGAAATTCCAGTCCCCAGGAATTCTTTCTTAAAGGAAAAAAAATTATTTAATGTGCATGAGTGTTCTGCTTGCACGATGTATGTGTACCACGCATGTGCAATGCCCTGGGGCCGGAGTCACTGCTGTGCCACTGCTCAAGACCCGGGAGCTACTGCTTCACTCAGAGATTTTTCTAATGATCTACAAGAAGCTTAACTACCTTCACAATTACCTAAAGATAAAAATATTTTTCAATTACATACAGAAAAGGTACATGTACAAAGATGACAAAGACGTTTATTACTAAAAATTGTAGGCAATTTAAGCATTTAAGTTTAAGATTTATTGTTTTTATTTTATGTGTGTGGGTGTTGTGCCTGCGTGCATTTAAGAGCACACATGTGTGCACAGAGTGCCACAGAGGGCAGGAGATTACCCCGCTCCACCCTGGAACTGGAGTTACAGATGGTTTTTGGCTGCGGTGTATGTACGGGGAATTGAACCTGGGTCCTCGGGAAGAACCGTCAGGGCTCTTGCCCACTGAGCTGCCTTTCCGGCCCAAACATTAAAGTTTAAATAATGTGTGACTCAACAGCAGCCGCTACAGATGATAACTATGAAGATCTACAGCCATTCAGAAAGAGACTTGCATCACACTGTGCTAATTAATACTGGATGAGTAACAAAATGTTTTTCTCAAATAAAAACTTACATTAACAATTTTTTTCAATGATAAAAACTGAAACATATACCCTAACCACATGCTTTCTATTTAATTCCAGGCAATTTAGATTTATATTTCTTGCTTCATGTTCCTACCGAAGGTTCAGAGACTCTCCCTTATCTAAATGCTCAACTCGCAGCCGCTTAGATTTGGGAGGGTCCTGGGTTCTGAGCACCGTGCACTGCGCAGGGTGGAAAAGCTCGCTCAGGTCTTCAGATAAGGGACTTCAGTCCCTGCTGCATAAAGGCCTGTCGGCCTTTTCCCTTAGCAAATGGGAAGCCATCCTGAGGCCAAAGCTGACTGCACTGCCAGAGAGCCGCGACTCTAAGCACTGCACATATGCATTCCGACATCCGCTAATTTACAATCCTGGGTGACATGATAGTCTGCTTCAAGAGTAAATAAAATGCACAATATAAATCACAGACCAGCAGTCTGCAGGGGCTGAAGGACAGTGCTCCTCTCACAGCCCGCTGGCCTCTACCTTCTCATAAAGTCGCTTCTGTAATTCGAGCTCCAGCTCTCTCATTTCCAGGTCTTTGGCCGTGGCAGCAATTTCTTCATCTCTCATTTGTACCTATGAACAAATTACAAATTGACAAGGTCCCTATGAACTCACAGCACTATTTTTCATAGATTTAATAATATTGTAATCTGGGTATTCCATTAACAGCAATCACCAGGAACTGGGTTTAAAACAGAGTAGCTGGTAACACAGTCATACTCTCGGAATCGAGGGCTAATCTGGGTTAAGCTTGTGTTTTTAAAAAGCATGCACAGCTGCCATATGCCCACGTAGACAGACTGACTAGCAGGTGGCAGCTCTTCCCCATTACAGCAACCAGTTCCCAGTTACGGAAAATCAACAACTGTAAGTTAGGGTGGAGAGAAGCAATGCTTACTCTTATAAAAATAACGTATTCAATTGTAAAAAAGCTTTAATTGACTTGACAACTGGTAAGTTCAGGTTTCTTGTGACTTGTCTGACTGCTCCGTGTTCTGCATGGAGATCGTGCTTAATGGAGCTCACTGTCCCCAAGTCTGATTACTTGGGGCTCTCAGTTGTGTAAGACAGGAGTAGGGTAAGGGACTTTCTACAGCATCTTCCTAAGTATTTGGCTGCCTACAGACCCAGTTATTTTTAAGGGAGTGAAGAGAGTAAACGATGTGTATCTGGAAAACAAAACAACAAAACCACAGCCAATCAACTGTCCGACTGTTAATCCCCATCATCCATTCAGCGAACATTTAAGGACTGGATGGCTGCAATTTTGGTCACTACCAAATACCTGTTGACTAAAACGCATGCTATTAAATTCTCAAGAGAAGCAGCAGTAAAAATAAGGATACCGTGGGATGCAGAGACACATACTCAAGGGGTGAAATAAACATTGTGCAACTGACCTTGAGGAAGTTACGGGGAAAGCACTAGCTAAGGGGAGGTCCTGGCAGCAGAGGAGAAGAGTGTGGAAGGAGAGCACCACTCTCTGTGGAGGGCCCAGTCATTGATTATGAGTTTTCAGAGATACAAACAGCTCTACAAGAAGATCACACGGGTCTGTGTGTAGATGTCCACAGCCACATACATAGCCCCTGTTGGAGCTGGGGCAGAGGCAGAGCACAGCACAGGAACAGGCAGCCGGAAGGACATGCAGGGTCTCTCTGCTGCTGCTTAGAAGAATCAGGACGCCTCACTGTATGTCAAGAGGATTTGGGATAAAGACATCAGAGTTCTGAGCATGGACCACTTTTGGGAAAGAATATATGCTTTTTATTAAGAATACAAAGCTATTAATTTGATTCACTGGATGAAGTAATTTAAAAGAACTGCAGAGTGTAAAAGCCAACTAAAATTAATTAGCCCTAAACAAAACAAGAAGTATTAAATTAAATGTTTTACAAGACATATTTTATCGAAACTAGGTTTTAAGTTTCCAAGATAAATTGAATACAATCCTAATGAGAAGAATTTCAATCGAAGAGAGAAAGGACCCAGAAAAATGGGATTCTCCATTTGGAATGTAAGTATTTCAGAAGAACAAGGAGTGAGGACAAGGCCAGGCTAAAGAGTCACCACTGCTGTCACCCAGAGTGCTGTTGGACAGGAAGAAAGAAGGTGAAGACCGAGGAGACAAGTGGGTCTATGCAGTAACAATGTTACCCAGCACTAATGTAGAAGAGGCTTCTGTATTTCTGTTGTTTTCATTGGCTAATTAATAAAGAAACTGCTTGGCCTGATAGGTCAGAACATAGGTGGGTGGAGTAGACAGAACAGAATGCTGGGAAGAAGGCAATGAGGCAGACACTATAGCTCTCCTCTCCCAGATGGACGCAGGTTAAGATTCTTCCCGGTAAGCCACAACCTCGTGGTGCTACACAGATTATTAGAAATGGGTTAATCAAGATGTGAGAGTTAGCCAATAAGAGGCTGAAACTAATGGGCCAAGCAGTGTTTAAAAGAATACAGTTTCCGTGTAATTATTTCAGGTAGAGCTAGCCAGGATCCGGGTGTAACGCAGCCCACTGTTCCTTTTAAACAGCACAGCGCTAACAACAAACGGTGCTGGGGCAATGGCACGCTGTCTAGGTCCCTAACTCACTCATGACAGTCAATGTTCAGATACACCTGCAAGCCTTTTCTACAAAGCAACAGAGGGTAAATATTTTAGGCTTTGAGTGTCACAAGGTTTTTGATACAACTACCCACTTTGCAAATAATTTTAAAATTAAGATACTATTAAAAACAAATGACACTATTAACATTTTTAAGAGGCAAGGGTAAAAGCCAGCTGAAGACACTTACACCAGAGAAGGGCTATACCCAGCCACACACTGCAGGGCAAACACAGCTATGTGAGACTGCAAAGGGGAATGAACACAGGCTGGAGCCTATCTGGTTAGAAATGTCACGGTTAATCGGGAGACATTTCATCTGCAGAGACTAACCTGGGTTTTGTTTTTAGAAAATGGTTAATTACGCAGTCTTTTCCTGTTTCTAAAGGTAGAGGAGTAATTATATTTTCTCGTGTTTATATAAATTTCATTTGCTTTCTATTTTTGTGCCATGTCTTAAAGACTGTTTAATGTCTTTCCATGTTGTCTTTATGAACAGCTTCTCTTCACTGTGGCTATACTCACTGGTGAGTTCGCCATGGCTAATCACTTTTACACACGTAAAACACCAACACTCCAGACATCTCAGCTGTAGAGAGAGATGAGGAAGCATAGGAAGCCAGCTCTCTAGCTCCAGATGTTCTGGACTGGAATTCTTTCTGTATTGATCATATGTGAATTTTTATAATAAAGAAGAATATCTCCCCCAGCTCATAATCAACATCTGGCAGGCTTTCACTTCTAAACAAACAGTCATTAAATTGACTAATTTCTTGGTATAATGATAGCTTAGCCAGGCAGTGGTGGTGCATATCTTTAATCCCAGCACCTGGGAAGCAGAGGCAGGTGGATCTCTGTGAGTTCGAGGCCAGCCTGGTCACAAAGCAACTTCCAGAGTTCCAGGACTGCTAGGACTGTTACACAGGGAAGCCTTGTCTTGAGGACCACTCCCAAAGGATAGCTGAATGTTAAGGAAATAAAACTGGGGGAGCTGTTTTAGTATTTTCACGGACTCCAGCACCATTACGTAATTTGAAGGTGCTCGTTCCATGAGGCTAAAGGGAGACCTTGAGTAAGATTAAAGCTGATGAACCTTTCTCTCGATTTCGTCCTCCAGCCGGCGCAGCTCCATCTCACGCTGACCCTGCTGAAGCTTGAGAAAGCGTCTCCTAGCAGCATCCTGCAAGTGGATTTCCTTCATCTTCAGCTCTCTTTTTGCAGCAGCAAGCCTGAAAAACAAACTATATCAAAGCACTCTCCAACACACCTTTGATTTTTTTCTACCATTGAGTTGCTTGTGCTATTTGGATACATTTTGTCCACTATAACACAACTGTGCTTACAAGAAACAAAGCCAGTACTCAAGAGGGTCATGGTGAGGGCAACTGGCCATCCTTTCAACTTTACCTTCCAACAGTCTACCTGTGAGCCGCTTTCCCAGCGCCCTGATGGAGTCCAGGGGCCTCTTACATGCAAGGCCAGTGTTCTAACAGCAAGCTGCAGCCAAATGTTATCACATCGTTTCAGTAAAGTGATACTCTTCAACTAGAGGATCACCGCAAAATCATTACAATGGCATCAAGCAGGGCACCCACATCCTTTGTAGTTTTAGTGGAGGTCATCAGTTCTGCAATTGCTCTAAATCACCCGGAGAAATAAGACTCAACAAAGACGGGGAGAAGCCAATTTCCCAAGTGTGTGTGAGGTACACATCTGTTTCCCCAGTACTAGGGAAACTTGGGCAAGAGATTTCCACCTTTGCCAAAGTGTAAAAGTTTAAAACCTTATTTTAAGTATACGAGTGTTTGCCTGCATGCATGTATGTGTACCACAAGCATGTCTGGAGCCTGCAGAAGTCATAAGAAGCATTGGACTCTTAGGAGCTGAAGTTACAGATGGTTGTCAATGCCCAATGGGTGCGGGAATCAAACCCAGGTTCTATATAAGAGCAGCAAATACTCTTAACCACTGAGTCATTTCTCCAGCTTCTTGTCAAAGATCTTATTTGTTTGCTGGCTTTGAGACAGGGTTTCACTATGCAACCCAGCTATCCTTGAACTCAAGAGATCCACATGCCTCTGCCTTATAAATGGTGGTATTAAAAATATGCACCACCACACTTGGCATTGCCAAGGTTCTAAATGCATAAGTAGATAAGCGATTTATGTTTCAATTTGTTTGGATCATATAGTTATGGTTAAACATAATTTTAAAAATTACATTGTGCTGGGTGGTAGTGACGCACGCCTTTAATCCACGCACTTGTGAGGCAGATGCAGGCAGATCTCTGTGACTTTGAGGTCAGCCTGGTCTACCCTGTCTCAAAAACAATCAAAAAAACTCCAAAAATTACGTTGCACCAAGAGTGATTTTCCTATACTCTATTACAAAGCATTTCTGCCTAACATAGAATGATTTTTTTAAAAAAGAACAAAACAGAGAAAAGGTCTCACTCTGTAGCCCAGGCGAGTCTGGAACCTCACTATGAAGCCCAGCCTAACCTTAAACTGGCAATCCTCCTGCCTCAGCCTCCCCAGGTGTTGGGATGACAGGGATGAATCATGCCTGGCTTAGAGTGAACACTGCTATTACGTAAGTTTTTCAAAATACATTAGCGCTTATATTACATCTGAAAATTCATGCAGGGGGCCAGATTCAACATTGCTTTAGGATTAATTTTACTACATAAAGTTTAGGTGGCATATGCACTTTTTATTGCCTTACATATTTGCTTAATGGAAATTACACTGGGTAACTTTACAAACAGTGTTCTTTCTATGTAAGAAAGGCAAGGGAACAGAACTTATCTGACTCCTGTCCTCAGTTTCCCATGGCAGTGGGTTATACCTGTGTCCTGGGTCACGAGGACTGCACCTGTGTCCCTGCTGGGTCACGAGGACTGCACCTGTGTCCCTGCTGGGTCACGAGGGCTGCACCTGTGTCCCT